AAATCATCCAAGTTATAATCAAATACTCAAATAAATGGAAACAATACATATATATATGTATATATATGTATTGTTTCCATTTATTGTTCATTCCTTTGTGGCTTTTTTACTTTATGTGGTGGTGTCATTTTCTTTTTCAGGTTATTTGAGTATTTGATTATAACTTGGATGATTTGCTTAAGCACATCAAAAGCCTGGATAAGGCAAAGGTTCCAGGCAAAGGTTCCATTTATTGTTCATTCCTTTGTGGCTTTTTTACTTTATGTGGTGGTGTCATTTTCTTTTTCAGGTTATTTGAGTATTTGATTATAACTTGGATGATTTGCCTTTATATATATATATATAAAGGCAAAGGTTCCAGGCGTTTGATGTGCTTAAGCAAATCATCCAAGTTATAATCAAATACTCAAATAAACTGAAAAAGAAAATGACACCACCACCAAAATGGCACCACCGCATAAAGTAAAAAAAGCCATAAAGGAAGGAATAATAAATGGAAACAACACCCATCATCTCCTAATAAAATGTAAATCTAAAGAGTCACCCCGTAAAAACATCTTAAGTTGAGGAGGCAAAACATCGACAATAGTGTTATCCAAAACTTTTCCACTCTTGGCCAACAAGTCCGCAGAAGATTTTCCTTCCCACATAACTTGATGCAAAGTGATAGAAAGATTACATTTATCAATAAGGAACCTAATTCTATTCCAAATCTCCACCACATTCCAATTGGAAATGGTTCCCACACAAAAATCTTTATAAATAATAAAAGAATCCATCTCGAGCAACAAATTGAAAAAATTACAAGAAATGGCCACCTGAATAGATAAAAGGAACCCCCATTATTCAGATTCCAAAGGGGAGGACGCCACAATCAGAGAAGTAAAGAAACAGAGGCATTTCCCAAGGTCAAGGTGGTCACAAAAAACCCCACCAGCCCCAGTCGCCGCAGACTCCCAGCTGCCATGGAAATTGACTTTAATCCATCCGAAAGGAGAAGGTTTCCATTTAACAAGACTGACCATCATACTCACCCTGGGATGGAGCAAAACAACATTGACACGTGACAATTGGCAGGACCGGATAAAGTAAGAAAGAATGAGAGAAGTCGAGATAGAAGGAAACTATCTCAAATTTTGGTATTTAACATCATTCCTAGCCACCCAAATAAACCAAAGAACCAACAAAGGAAAACAAGCCAAATTAGAGTCCATAATATTGACAGATCTCCAAATTCGGAGAAAATCGAGAAGATCACTACAATCATACCAGTTTATGTGAAAATGTTTTCACAAACCATAACACACCTCGTTAGCGTAAGGACATTGAAAAAATAAATGAGCCGTAGTTTCCTCCTCCTTATTACATAAATGACATAGGGACGCCAATTTAATCCTCCTAAGTTTCAAAATATCATCCAGAGGGAGCATATTATAAAGAAATCTCCACAGGAAGAAGGAAATGGATGGAGTAAAGAAATTATTCCAAATAACTTTCACCCACTGCCATTTATGAAAGCTATAGATATTCGCATAAAGAATTTTATAAGGAGAGATATTAGTAGAAATTTTCCAAAGTGGGGTGTCTTTAGTTGCCCTCTTTATTGGGATCTTAGCTACAAGAGTAGCTTTATCCCCAACAAGAGAAATCAATTTAGGAACATCCCAATTTTCAATAATCCACACACCCAAGATAAGAAGATTGTTATTATGAGTAATGCCAAAATTATTGTGATCCCCCAAACCCCACTGATCAGGCCAAAAAGAAATCTTGCTTTCACCAATGTCCCAAACGATAAATTTTCTAGCAACAGAGCGAGCTTTTAGAATGGACTTCCACAACTTGCAATCCCCCACTTTCCAATGAACTGTAGATGGATTAGAAACTTTGCAATATTTATTATGCATGAAGAGAGCCCATAAAGAAGTATTAGCCCAAAACTTAAACCACACTTTACTCTATATATATATATATA